TTCAAAACCATAAAACGTAAGAAAATTAATTGAAATTAGCTCGCTTGTTCCTTTTTTTTGTCTCTTTTTTGCGATTGTATGTATGTTTTGTATGTATGTAGGAAAAAAGTATCTTTTTGAATGTATGTGTGTATGTTTGTGTATGTATATTTTCTCTGACATTTTTCCTTGTTGTTTTTTTTTCTCTCTCTTTCCTTATTTTTACACCAAATAATGTTAAATATTTTTGAATATACTTCAAAAATCCTTCTTTTTTTATTCTCCCTTTCTCTAAATAATGTTAAAATGTCTTTGAATATACATGTACTTTAAATTTTCAGTCTCTTTATCTGAAATACTCTTTCTTTTATTCGAAATGAATAAATATATAGTAGAAATATGGAGTAAATGGATGTTTTTTCATACTTATGTAGTTTTTTGTTATTGAAATTATAGGTATGAGTCTGTGAATTGTATGTTAATATGTATGTTTGTATTGTTATACTTCAAATATCAAATAAATGAAAAAAAAAATCTTTAGTATCATAACTTTTAAAACCAAGTTGTATTTCAGTTAATGGTTTGTTCAGTATATCCAATCTTTGTGAATAAGAAATTATAACATTATTTCAATGAGGTGATAAATCAAAAGAAAAGTAAAATTTTCTTTGAGAATATGTAGGAAGCCGCTGGTAAATCCGTCTCGACTACTAGTCTTTTTTCAGGTCTTGAACTTTGTAGTTTCCTAGGTGATGAAAGTTCAAATAATCATAAAAAACAAAAGTAGCCGTAAAGAAAATTTTCGTTGTTTTTTAAGTGTATAAAGCTGTATCATATGAAATGTTTGCATTTTTTATATGAATTGTAACTTAGGCCGTATAAATTTAATTTTAAGACACTTATCTGGGCTTTTCAAAAATATTGTACTCTATAAGAATTATGAAAGGACTTAAAGAGTCCTGTTTATAATAAATGCACGATAAATGTTCGTCCTAGGCAATTAAAAAGGATTTGTTTGATTGGAACCATTATTTAAGTTACGAAAAACGCTATTTTTGCAATTTTTTAACTTTGATGTATGAAATAACTTCAACATCGGTTTCACAAGAATCCAACTCTATTAATACCTTTATGTCCACTTACAAATGTTCATGTAAATTGGCACTCTCGATTGCATTCACACTGTGCGGTTCCCCTCTCATGATTAACTGTCATTATAGCATAAAATCGGCTATTTTCCCCTCTTTTGCCCATGTTATAACGGGGCCAAAATCATGCGTTAACATAGTCACGCGCTCTTGTTATAGCCCGGTTTTACCTATGCGCATTACATACAGGGCCCAGTAAACAAACAAACTAAAAATGACGATTTGGCCTGTTTGCCAAAGAGTCATGCGCTCTTGTTATATTGAAATTATTGATTCAATCGCATAACGGCGAGCAGCTTTCAAGGAACTATGCCGGAAATACGGCGTATAGACATCGCCGCTAATCTTGGTTGTCCCCCTTTCTAAGAAACGGACAGTTGTCAATGTAAACAAATCTGTCATTCAGTTTAACCCTCAGATTAACTTACAAAACAAGATAGCACAAAATGAATATGAGAAAATGTTGTTTTAATAATGTTTATATTGAAAAATGCTCTTTATATTTCTTTGAGAGAATAATGTTTAGTGTCTGATTTTTTTATAAACTTGTGTGCTTGAAACAAAAAACGATTTTGATGTCACTCAACTGTGAATCTGAAATCATTCTAGGAATTTCTGAGGGTCATGTTTTGTCTTGGGTTCAGTAATTTAATGTTCTTTTCTTGAGTTAATAAATCTCCAGTGTAAAGTTTTGTTAAATCAATTAAAATTCGAAATTTCGTTCGGTTCTGAGCATTGTATTTCCTAAGTTGTTTGCCCCGGAAAAATAAAACGCATACGTAAAACATGTAGAATTGGATAAATACCGTCCAAGCACAAGGATTTAATGTATTTGTTTTTGCATTGAATATAAATTATGAATATGTTTTAAAATTTTATGCTATAATAGCGTCAACACACGTTTATTTCGTGTTATAAAGTCTGCAGAGTCCCTCGGAACTGTTGGAGCCCTCGCCCTACCGGGCTCGGGTACCAACCGTTCCTCGGGACTCTGCAGACGTTATAATACGAAAAAACGTGCGTTAACCCTATAAAATATCAACATATCTTACACTACTAACGAGAGCTATAGACACAAATCACACTTTCTATGCATTTTGCTCAGCTTCAAATAGATAAATTTATAATGTTTCTTTATACTTTAAGCTTTTATTGAAAACCATTTTCTGTTATTATAAACTGGCTGTCACTTTTTGTAGGTCAAATTGTTCAAATGTAAACATTTTAGTTTCTAAGTCAAATTTTGGTGAACAAATTTGATTTTCCTTTATTAAATGAAACTACTCAATGGAACAGATATCAAGTTGGACACCACGTTTTTCTCTTTTAATTAAATCTGACGGATCAAGTTGGAGACTAAATGACGGACAGTTCTTAAAACAACCCATCGGCACTGAATTGTCTTAATTTTCATCTCCTGCCTTGCTTCGTTGCGTCCTTGTAATTAATTCTTTGCTGCTCTGTCTTTCTTTAGACATTAAGTACTTTTGTCATCGCCATGGGGTCAACTTCCTTTATGTATCTACATGATCATTTCTGTGTTTTACTTATTTCATCTTGTTTGAATATCGCTTGACAGTAATTCATTTTATTTACATTGTTCCATTTAAAGGAACATGTTGGGACAGTGCTTAGCTTGAATACGAGTAAAAATCAAAATACAAAACGTTTGATGTTACTGTACTGTTACTGTACTATTGTCAACATCAGAAACACACCTACGGCAAAATTACTTTAGGTGACATTTTAGACTTAAATGAAAAATAAAATGTAGCACTGCTGCATATATTGGGGCGTAATACGAAAAGAAACTTTTATGGAATTCACTGATAATCAGTGAGTTCGGCATGAACTGACGACAGTTTAAGAATATTGACAAGTTTAATGAGACTTAGATTGGTATGGTTGAAAGTTTTCTAACATTAATTGAACTATTTCTTAAGTTACGGTAGTGATTCATTCAAAACTATCAAATTTCAGTGCAAAATACATTTTGTGCTGCTGTTTTCATTTTAAAACTTTGTTTACAAAACTATGTATGTCATAAGGTCTGATAGTAGAGTAGGAATTCATTAGTAAAAATATGTTTGTTAAAAAGATGTTTTAAACTATATTGCCCACCTTTCAAAATCAAAGGACGGTTGTCTTCAAAAGGAAGAAGAAAAACTAGTGAAAATCGAATATCCTAAAAAAGGCCAAAACGACAAAATTGTGTTCTAGCTTGGTTTTATTATGCCTGTTTATGCGCGGTAGAGGTAATTTAAAGATACCGACCACACCCAATGTGACACGTTCGTGCTATTGCACATGGTTCCAAAGTAAAAATCGGCTTATAATCAAAACAAAAAAAACCAACAACAAAAAACAATTGGGTAGATTAGACAGTTTAGCAACATTCATGTATAACGCGAAATGGTACACATGAAGAATTTAGTAAAACTTTATGTCACTTATTGAAAAAAGATTATCTGATGAAATAAATTTAAAAACCAATTGCATGTGGGGCATAAACTTACTTATGCAAGTAAATTTAACAGTCCGAGCTTCGATCCTAAGAATGCGGTACTTTTGGAGAATGTAACTATTAAATGTGTTTATTTTAAAAGGGCAGACTAAGTTTTGGTTCTGCTTTGTCCTATTTTGCCTATGTTTTCATGAAATATCTCCACAGCTTATCATCCCTTCTGTTTCAATGTACAAATATACTAAACGTGTTATTTCAGTTGTATTTGTAGTTTTTTGTGATCTATAACTCAGTTGTAATAGTAAATTATTTCACCTTGTGACGACTATTCTTAAAAGCAACATTGATTCTTGACTAGCCATTCAGCAGCGTATCGGCTTTTAAGTTCAATACAAGTTTAATACAACCTGGTGTAGTTTTTGCGTTAGTATAATGTAATCGCAAACAAACTTTTAAGTATTCTTTCTCTATCCCTATCATTTATCATAAAAACAATTTACTTATTTTTCCTACTTTTTGTGCAGTAGAAAGCGTGTATGGGATATTTTTTGATATACTTATATTGTTTAAGATCACCAGGCGAGAACAGTAGATAACTTTATCAATAACCTTGTCGAGAATTGTAATAAATCAATAGAATTTGTCAAAAATGAAAGGAAGTCTAAATCGACTTTAAACATGGAATTTCATGATGAAACTGTTCAACAGAGAATTGTGTAAATCTCAACCAAGGAAGTGTTAGTTTATACTTTTCTTAACTGACCCAATAAGCACCAACAACAAAATTATTGATATTTATTAATTAAAATGGTTTAAATTACAGTAATCTTAGCGATACAATATTAGCAAACAATTCCAACATGTCTATTTATGTACACAAAGAAACCTGACTGTGCAATCAAAGGTAATGCATGTCGCTCGCCTTTTATCATACAACAAATAGTTTCTGCCTTAAAAAATACCAAAAAAAAATTCTATTTATCAACGAAAATGTACAGATTATCATGAATGACACTGAACAGAGAAATTGTTACAGAGCCCTTATTTTCCAAAGAACTAAACCAATCTGTCGTTCCCAAGAAACTTATAAATTATGTCAATTAAATATAGATATAGATTTTCCGTATAAGTGACACTAAAATATAAATCAACTAAAATTATATTACAAAGCTATAACATTTATCTACGTACGCTTCATTTGGCTAGATAACTGAAGAAGAAATTTAATGTCGTGAAGCATCTGAACCAAATCAACTGATAGGTTTGGCTCTGAATAAAATAAAAATGTATCTTATGTGTCATAAAATAAAACAAAATGTACAGTGTATTATTATTTACAGTGCGTTATTTGACAAACAATTTCCTTTTCATTTATAGTCAATAATAATTCTAAAACTAAAGCAACAAACTTTTCGTCTTAAGAAATGTTACATTTATCTCTTATTTTCCGAACGTTATTGCGAGGTGTGTCGCTATATGTTTGAACTGCTTCACTTCCCTCTGGCGGTATTCGTTCACCTTTTGCTTCTCCTGATGACAGGTCACCATCGTCTTTTGAATCACTTCTCTCGACAGCTTTTTTCCAAAGAGGGCCTATCACATCATTCCAAGGCTCTTCATAAACAGTGGCTTGCATATCCGTACTCTGTTGTCCAGCAATGGGTTTTAGCTGTCTCTTATAGTGGGACAAACTGAATGTCGCGTTCTCAAAAACATTTTTCCAGTGGTCGGTTTCTTTACATAATTTTTTATAATATGAATTATCACGAGTAAGTTCTTTTTTTACTCTATCTATTTCTTCTATTTTTGATGTAAGCATGTCAAGATATTGATCTCCGATATTCTGAAGACCATTCCTCTGCAGCATTTCAATATCTGCTCGGATCGCTTCTTCAACCTCTTCCTCTTCTTTCATAATGTCTGCATCTTTTTCTCTGAACACGCTCAGGCGTTTCATATTTTTTCTTTCCGGTCCTTCTGAATGATATAAATGTTTTAAGAGTTTGTATTCTTTCTCTTTCATGAAAATATGTAGTCAGATATGATTTCAATCAGAGCCATTTTCAATTGACTATGAAAATCAGTATTGTGTATGTACCAAATTGGATAATACTTGTATTTAAATGATGATTAAATGATTATATATTACTACTAGGAAACTAATACCTTTGCCACCAAGTGCTTCTTGAACCATGCAAAACACTGCTTCCTCTTCAGATGTCTTCTTAGCGAGAAATTCTTGCAAAGCTAACAAAGCCTGGAATCAAATAAGCAATACTTTCAATACTTGTTTTAGCATAAGGTAACAGCTCAATGCTTGATACCCAAACTGTCTATTTTAAGATATTTTTGATGCCTTGATAATATAAGATATTTTTCGATGTATATGAATAACAAAAGTATATATGTTTTGGTCAATATATATGACGAAACTATCCTGATAAAAATTCATTGGCGATTTCCTGTTTAATTTATGTGTCAAACCAAATGGCAAAATCGTCAAAGAAATAAACATGCAAATCTATTCAAAATACAAAGTTTCCATTTTACAGTAGCAGATTTATATACATGAATGATAACTTAATAAATGTTATATAAGACTCATTATCTTACAACAGAACCCATGTATCCAGCTTCTCTGTTGTATTGTTTTATCAGTGTGTCTAGATCTTTCATGTACTCATCATATCCTGTCGGTGTGCAATATTTTCGATTCTTTATCTTCATTTGAATTTTCATCATATCAAGCCGTCCAAGTAATTGGCAGCATTTTGCCTCGACATCCTTCTTTACAATTTCTTTGAATTTTTCAAATTGTTCTTTGAAGCAAGTCTTTAATGAACAAGAAGGAACAAAATAATGGAAGTTTTTGTTGTGATCTAATAAAAATATATTGAAACTTTTTTAAAAGTCAAAATTCGCTAAAAAGGAAGGAGTGTGTATAATTAGATTAACTTTATGTGTTATATTTACCATTGCCTTTTCTTCATATATTTGCTCGTCGTCAATGATGAGTCCAGCTTTCAACACTTCAAGCGCCGCATGCATGCTTTCCTTATGATAGTTTATAAGACCCTTTTCACTCGGTATATGAGAGCCTATACGCCTCTTCATTTCGGCTCTATATTCTTCTGAGGCTTTTTCAACTACATAGGTGTTTTCTAAAGCTGCCATTAACACCATTGCACTTGTCAAACATGGGGAATCTCCACCCCGAATGGACTGAACATATTTTAGCACTAGGGAACAAAACACTAAAAATACAAAGATTTTACAAAAGGGTAAATTGAAAATGGAGTTTTGTTATGTGTTTAATAACCATGACAATATATATTTGGTTTTACCATAATAAGTACTATTCAAAATTTAAAGGTAATGATTTTTTCAGTGTTTGAATAAGTATTTGATAAGCATTCCTTAAAATCAGTTCTCAAACGCATTGGTTTGAACGGTAAAGCAGAATAAATGATGTACATTACAAATTAATTTCGATTTGACTAAATTATATCAACAAACTAAAATATATTCATAATTTACCAACCAATCCGGATTAAGATAGGTTTAATTATCTCTTGTTTTACTTACTTCTCCCATTAATGGCCTTTCCAGACTTAAGTGATTTTGGTTTACACGAAAAGATATAGCTACGGAACCCTTCAAGCGATTGTCGGAATTCTTCTTTGAGCTTTGACTCATCTAAAGTCAACAGTTCCTTAAGTAGGCCGCTTTTCACCGGTTTTCTGAACAAGAAGCATTTCCTTTTCTTGAAGTACCGCCTTACAAGCATCCTTGGAAGGTTGTACTCTTTCAGTGCTTCTTCAGAAAGATTGGTACCACTTTTCATATTCAATTTTTCCTCCAGAAAAGTATCTGCGTCTTTTGCTTTAATGTCTAGAGTCACGTCTCTTAATGTTAGAACAAAATTTGGAAAAAAGAAATCAAGAATGGAATCGTCTTCTTCAGTGCCATTTACTTGAATTGATGTTTTGATTTTATTTAAAAATTTGTAAACAGTTAAGGAAAATAAGCAGTCATTATCTCAGGTTTTTAATTTGAAAATAAAAAGTATATATCGTCATGTTAAATTTGGTTTGAAATTTGTAAGTCAAACTATTCTTAACAATTTTGTCAAAAGATAATGAAAATAGTTAATTAGATCTAAAATTCAGAACACAGAAAAGGATTTTACTTCTTTTTGAGATGTCATTTAAGATCACGTGACGCCAACGTAAGAAAACAATAACACAATTATATGAACGTCAAAAATGCTTTATAGTGTATTATGCTTGTAAATGCATTTAAGCATAGCAATTCTAAAGTTGTTTGTTTTTAAAAAAAAGTTCTATGAAAGAAAATCGAACTTATCAATCATAATTTTAAGTTTTTGAAAAGATATTACAGTGTATTTACACTGTCGTATAGATGCACCAATTATAGATTTCTTTTAAAGGCATCATTATATTAAGCTGAAAGGATACTTAAATTTATCAATGGTGGTTTTATCGAAGTTTCCTCGTGTGTTGTATACTAATGTGTTTGACAATAGTGTGGCAAGTATGAACAGATTTTTGTCGTCTTCAATATCAACCTGTGTGAATGATTAAAGAAGCAAAACTAAAGTATACAACGGTAATTATGGTTAACATTGTATCATTTTTGTTGTTTACAGACATTTGTATGAAGTTAGTTAGAGTTCAAATGCACAGGGTCGGCCATCGTGAATAATTTCACAGAATTTGAACGATGAATCGTGACAGAAGAATATCTATTTCCATTCTTATAAAAAGAGAAATGATAAATGTATGACTGACAGTTAATTTGGCGCTTTGAAACTGCCATTGATTGCACTGTATCGGGCAAATTTAGGAGTATTCTGCACCTTCGTGATTATGGCCCATATTAATGTATTTCAAGGGTGTGATTTTTGGTGGGCGGAGATATCAATCGTTATTTTTGGAGCAAAGCATGCAAACTGAAGTTTTCTTAAATGTATGTCATGTATACTTGAACTGTGCATCTGGTTATCTGTCTGTGTTAAAGATTTTGGAATTACCCAGTATATCATTGGTTATCATAAAATAAATAGAGGGCTTTTGTTTGTTTTGAGTGAATATACAATATATCACACTGAGAAGTAAGAAATTTGCAAAAATGTGGACATTTTCTCCCTTGAATTTGTGATACATAGGATTTTTACGAAAACAACACATTTTCATTTAATTTTATGCCCAGTAATTATAATAAGAGCAAAATTCAACTGTTTAAATTGTAGCCCGGGAAAAAACATGTGTAATGCAGATGACGCCCATTGTCCAACGCTAACGCGAACGCTGTGCAAACGAAGTAGTTCAGATCTGTAGTAATAATTGCTGAGAAACTTTAAATTCATGATATTTGAATCGAGAAAAATGCCATTCAAAACGAAACGCAACAATTAAATTTTATGTAGAATTTACGAACTAATTACCGTTTGCAATTGAACGTTTGCGAAAATAAGTTCGGCAGAGCTATTTCACCTACACTATGCGTGAAATACTTTAGGGTGATATTGGTTTTATCACAGTACAAAACCCTTTCACTAGTTAGCCTAAATTTTAAAGTTCTTATCAAGATGCAGACCTATGTTCATTATTTATATATAATTTATATATTCATTTCCTCAATAAACATTTTAATTACCTTGTCTGGGTCATCTATCCCCTCTGTATCCAGTAAGACAAGAACTTGATTTTCTTTGGTAGGATGAGGTCGACACATAACCCATATCCCTTTTGTTACAGCATCTGTGGTATGTCCGATCTCAAAGCACGCTCCTGTACGCACTGAAAAAATGACTTATGCTTTTGAAAGCTCTTAAAAGCTTTTGTTATGTTCTTTGCAGTAATTCGTTACTCACTGGTTTATTGATGCTTGATGTTTTTAGTTTTTTAAAAGTATGAAACTTCTTCTTCATATCCATTATATTTAAATCTTGATTAATTTGTTACGATTTATGCTACCGAAATAAACGTGCATTTATTGACATTATAGATGTACCTGCATCGGGTCTTGCTAGTTTATTCAATAAAAAAGATTTTCCAGTTCTAAGTGTTCCAACGACAGAAACAATGTTCAGCGGTTGCTGAATTTCTCTCAGTTTTGATAATGTTGTTTGATTGCAAGTTGTTTTACCATTGTCTGTGGAAACTAATACCATAGGAGCATGGAAAATCGGGTTATCAGGCCTGTTTGGAATGAAATGAATGTTGCATGTTTAAACAAATTCGTTTGCTAGTATACATTAAATTGAAGTTTTATAACAAGACATATGATAGCAATATTTAAAACGGTTCTACAATGTCATGGTATTTAAAATTGTTACAGACAGATCGTTTCATTTTCAAAGCTTTTTTGGAACAAAATCTTTACTAACAATTCTCTATTGTTTATAACATGAAATATATAGTTAACTTATCTAAACAGATGAAATACTCACAACGACGTTTCTTGTAATACCTGCAAGCTACTCGTCTTCCTTTATGTAAAGATTGTATACATTATCAAACAAAAATAAGAGAAAAAGAAAGTAAATGACCTTGTATAATTAATTAACTGTATTAATCATTTTGCTATTTTATAAAATGAAGTAAAGTACTCGAATAGTGTTCTCCTTTTACAAACAAAGTGTGATGAAACGATTCCTTTGATGTTATTGTAAGAAAGAAATTGACATTATGTCCCTCTAGGTATAAATGGTCTGGGAACAGGTAACAATAAAAGTATCTTTGCATATTGCCAAACTTATAATCAATTTTATATTCTACAATGGCAAAATAATAAATAATCCACATGACCTACGGATATTTCTATTAGCATTGTTTAGAATGTATCGTTAATGTCAATTCTTAAAAAGATTTGAACAGTCTTTTAATAGTTATATCCCCCTTCAAAGAAGCATTTGTCTGTCGGTCTATCGGTTGGTCGGTCGGTCCTTAGACCAAATGGTTTCCAATTAATAACTAAAGAACGCTTTTAAAGCCTAGGAACTTTAAACTTGGGATTCTTCATGACCAGAAGATGACCCGTATTGTTTTAGGGTCTTTCGGTCAAGGTTTTAATTGACCTTGAATGTCAAAATATTTTCCAATTTATAACTCTACACATCATAGGACTTTGACCTTCAAACTTCACAGGTGCATTGGTCTTGGCATGTAGATGACACCTATTGATTCTGGAGTCAAAGGGTCAAAGGACAACGTCATATTGACACGGTTTTTGATCAATAACTTGTCCACCCATGGACCTTTGGCCCTCAAAGTACATAGGTGCATTGGTCCTGGCCAGTAGATGACCCCTATCGATTTTGGGGTTAAGGGGTCATAGGTCAAAGTCACATTGACCTTGTAAGTAAAAACGGTTTTTTCGATCAATAGCTTTACAACCCAGAGCTGTTGGCTACTAGTATCATACTGCTTAAGTGTATTGGCCAGTAGATGACCACTATTGATTTTGGGGGTCACATTGACCTTGTATGTCAAAACAGTTTCCTATCAATAACTAGACAATCCATAGACCCTTGACCTTCAAACTTCACAAATGCATTGCTTTTGGTCAGAAGATGACCTCAATGGATTTTGGGGTCAAAGGGTCAGAGGTCAAGATCACATTGACCTTTTCGGAAAAAAAGATTTCTGATCAATATCTGAACAACTCATGGGCCCCTCCCTTACCTTTAAACATCACATGTGCATTGGTCTTGGCCAGTAGATAATCCCCAATGATTTAAGGGTCAAAGATCAAAATCACATTGACCTTGTCCGTAAAAATGGTAGTTGCCTTTGTTGATATTTTTCATTAAACTAAAATGCTTGGTATACACATTTCAAGGTCTAATGCAATATAACAAATTGGCTGTCATTAAGGAGGCCAACATAATTCATAAAATTTATGCACATATTATTTGGTAAGATTTGTGATAACTTTGTCATAAAATTGCTGCATACAACCTTTACGGTCACACTGACCTAGTGATAAGTCATGACCAGTAGATAATTCCTATTGATTTTGGTCTATTGGTCAAAAGTCAGTCACAATAACCTGGCTACATGACTGATTGACCGCCTATAGGGGCATACATGTTTTATTATGTAGTTTTTATATTGTATCATTAACATTTTTCATTATAAATAATTGGTCAGTTTGAAATATATTTCTTATTAAACTCAACTTGACAGCGAAAAAATAGCAAAATGTCATTTTAACTTTATACATACGTTGGTGACAAAGACGCTGTTTTGTTTTGATTGTCTTTTTTAGGTTTGAGTCTTGGACTCCTGAAATATAAATCCTTATAATTAATTGGCTAGTATACTTCATTTAAACTAAAAACAAAATTAGTGCATTCCCTTATAAAACATATGATTTAAGCCTAAAATTTCAAACTACAATTTCCCATTTTTTCTTCAACAGGTACGCTCTAGATAATGTTACTTACACAGGTGCAACCGCGTCGGTTTTGTCAAACATTTTCAACCTGCTTGCTGACAATCTTTTCACTTCTTTCTTTTCTTCGCTCATTTTGTATACTTCCTGGAAATGTAGATATACTTACTTAGAACAACATTTTTTTCTGTATAATGGAAAAATATTGTTATAAGTATATGTATAAAAATGAAATAGTCATGAGCGGGAAATTATACATGACTTTAAGTTTACAGACGTATATATAATTCGGTTTAATGGAAAAATATTGATATAGATATGGAAAAGAAAGTCATGAGCGGGAAATTATAAACGCCGCAGACAGGACTCGAACCAGGGGTCTGTTGATTGCCGGTTTAGTATGCTAACTACTACACCATAGCGGTCGTTACGTTTTCTTTGTGATAATTTACCATATATAGTTAAAATCGTGACATCATCACTTTTATTAGCTCACCTGTCACAAAGTCACAGGGTGAGCTTTTGTGATCGCTTTTCGTCCGGCGTCCGTCCGTCGTCCGTCCGTCCGTCCGTCCGTCCGTACGTCCGTAAACTTTTACTTTAAATGACATCTCCTCATAAACCACTAAGCAAATTTCATCCAAACTTCACAGATATGTTCCTTTGGTGGTCACCTTTAAAAATTGTTCAAAGAATTTAATTCCATGCAGAACTCTGGTTGCCATGGTAACCGAAAGAAAAAACTTTAAATATCTTCTTTTAAAAAATCCTAACAGCTAGAGCTTAGATATTTGGCATGAAACATCTTCTAGTAAGTGTCTACCAAGTTTGTTCAAATTAAATCCCTGGGGTCAAAATTGGCCCCGCCCGGGGGGTCATTGTTTTTCCCTATATGCATATAGTAAAAACTGAAACAATTTTCTTTTAAAGAACCCAAAGAGCTAGAGCTAAGATATTTAGCATGAAACATTTTCTAATGGGTGTCTACCAAGTTTGTTCAAATAAAAGCCATAGGGTCAAAATTGGCCCGGCTTCAGGGGGTCATTGATTTTCCCTATATGCATATAGTAAAAACTTAAAAAATCTTCTTTTAAAGAACCCAAAGAGCTAGAGCTAAGATATTCAGCATGAAATATGTTAAAATGAGTGATTACCAAGTTTGTTCAAATAAAAGCCCTGGGGTCAAAATTGGCCCCGGCCCAGGTGGTCATTGATTTTCCCTATATGCATATAGTGAAAACTTAAAAAATCTTCTTTTAAAGAACTCAAAGAGCCAGAGTTAAGATATTTAGCATGAAACATGTTCTAATGGGTGTCTACCAAGTTGTTCAAATTAAAGCCCTGGGGTCAAAATTGGCCCCGCCCCGGGGGTCATTGATTTTCCTTATATTTGTATAGCAAAACTTAAAAAATCTTCTTTGAAAAAACCCAAATAGCTAGAGTTTAGATATGAGGCATGAAACATCTTCTAGTGAGTGTCTACAAAGTTTGTTCAAATAAAAGCCCTTTGGTCAAATTGGCCCCGCCCTGGGGGGGGGTCATTGATTTTCCCTATATGCATATAGTAAAAATTAAAAAATCTTCTTTGAAAAAACCCAAATAGCTAGAGTTTAGATATTAAGCATGAAACATATTCTAGTAAGTGTCTACAAAGTTTGTTCGAATAAAAGCCCTTGGGTCAAAACTGGCCCCGCCCCAGGGGTGTCATTGTTTTTAACTATATGTGTATAGTAAAAACTTAAAAATCTTCTTTTAAAAAACCCAATGAGCTTGAGCTTAGATGATTAGCATGAAATATCTTCTTATGGATGTCTACCAAGTTTGTTCAAATAAAAGCCCTCGGGTGAAAATTGGCCCTGCCAGGGGAGTGGGGGAGGAGAGATCATTGTTTCTCATTATATGTGTGTAGTAAAACCTTAACATTGTGAAATAAAAACTTAACATTGTGAAACATCTTCTAATGAGTGTCTTCCAAGTTTGTTTAAATAAAAGCCATGTGGTTTAAACAGGCCCCGCTCCGGGGCCCTATATACAGGTGAGCGACCTCAGGGCCATTATGGCCCTCTTGTTACCATAGTGACGGGCTTTTTATAGCTATTTTACCGCAGTTGGCTGACTCAGTCACTGTTTATTTTCTTATCATATAAATCATATGGCAAACACAGTTATTATTTTATAAGGCCAATACCACTCTTAAGAATGAAAATATATGAAAGAAAGAAAGTCATGAGCGGGAACTTATACATAGAAAAATCGGCACGCCGCAGCCGTGACTCGAACCACGGATCTCTGGATCACAGCAGCCGTACGTTTCCTTCGAGCTAATTGACCTTATATATTTAAGTTATTTTTAACTTTATCGTGATGCGATTATAATATAGGTTTTGACGTCACAATAGTTAAAAATAACTTAAATATGATATAAATAATTTTCTCATCCAAGGAAGAATGGCATAACTATGTGTATACTATAAGAATCTAACACTGGCTGTTGGTACAGACAGGAATTTCTTGCATAGCAGACTGGCGTTTCCGTGAGTTTTACCCATGCCGGAAATTTCATCTGGCATGGGGGGTGCCAGATGAGTCGCGTGCCAAACAACAACGTCATTTTAGCGCCATTTATGAATGAATCGCGTTAAAATGACGTCGTTTTAGAAGGGAAATATGTCTTAGGATGACGTCATTTCGCCGTTGTTATTTAAGTTGTAAGTTCATACGCTAATGTAAGAAAATAGTTATGGATGAAATGACTTTAATTTCCATGAACATATATCATATTGAGGTAAACCATTTTAAATATGAAATAATATGGCAGAATATGCAAGAAAAAATATCTTTCATATGTCTGCGGTTCGGATCGGAATATCCGTCCCTCGGGAACCCGCCCATGGGCGGTAACTCGGCAAGCCTCGTTACCGCCCAATGGGCGGGTCCCCTTGGGACGGATATTCCGGTCCGAACCGCAACATATGACAGATATTATTAATCTAGCTTGAGGGTATCTGTTTACAACAGTAACGAGGCTCTGCCCAGTTTCTGTTAAACAGTTACCCTAGAGCTACATATTCCCATCTGTACCGACAGATGGTGTTTCATTTCTTTTCTTGCATATTACATATCAATTATTTTCAGAACAGAAATTACGAAAACTTATATTCTCATTACGCACTTTTTTCTTAAAGTAGCGTATAAACTTACAATTTCATTCATAACGGTAAAATAACGTTATCCTCAGAACGCAATTCATTCTTAAACAGCGCGCGGCAGGTTATTCTAGCATGGGTGTGAACGGGAGATAATCCTGTCTGATATGCTAGAAATAAACAGCATTCATGGTAAAATGCTCAAAGTGAAGCAAACTGACAGATTCGTAGATCTATATTCTAACATTATCGAAACTTTTCCTATATAAACAAAACAGGCCTATAGCGTGCGTTTATTCTACAACATTGCACTCACCGTCCTTATTTCCTCCCTTTGAATTTTCAATCCGACACATTGACGGCGCCATTGTGTTTACAAAATCTTATATCGATAAATAAAAACAAATAAATCCGCACACCAATATCTTTAATTAAGTCAATAACGCTGTACAGACGTTATAACTGTTGTTTGCGTAACGTCACAATGTAGCGCTAAACATCGCGTGCAAAACAGATAAAACAAGAACGCTATTCCATGTCGCAAACCAGTGTGAAATTTCACATTGATTTTTCTATAAATAGGCTGCATTTCGCTTGAAAAATATAAAATGCAATAAAACAAATACGCAAATCGTTATCAACGTTTTCAAATATTTCAATATTCTCAAAGTGTTTCTGCAAACGGAGGACTAAACGACAGCTTTTTTTTTCAACCGACTGGAACAGCCTTTAAAGAACGTTTCTATTGGGAACTCTTCAGTCGAAAAAAAATAACAACCACACAAATAGTCCAACTATATTTTTTTTCTTGACGTGTTAGAATGGAAATACATATTAATCTTTCATTTGTTTGAATGCTTTGTAATTAATCACTTAGGTCTATCGGCCTTCGTGATTATATTCCAATGCATTTGAACCCAAACTGTGCATTATTCTACAACAATGCACACAAAATTGATATGTATTTCCTCAACATAATCAATGATATCATATTTAAAGATATGTTAGATATCAGAGTCATATTTTTCATATTCATATATAAAATTAGATTTGTGGATATCATTTTCATCAATGTAAGAATCGTAGATAAAAGATTCAACGATATCCGATGTCAGATTTGTAGGTATCAAATCCGTACATATTAACATTATATGTTTTCGTATACAACCAGTTGTAAAACTAATGGCTTGCATTAATTATATAGTATTAATATGTCATTGACATAAACAATCAAGAATATGTCATTTTCAAACATGAGCATGTCAATATACACACATGAATATGTCATATGCTAACATGAATATATCATATATACACATGCACATGTCATAAACAAACCTTAATATGTCATATTCAAACACGAATATGTCATATACAAACAGGAATATATCATATACAAACATGAATTTGTCATATACACACATCAACATGTCATATTCAAATATGTGAATGTCAAAATACAAACATGAATATGTAACATACAAACATTAATATATAATATTCAAACGTTACGGTAAAGATACAGAACAGGCTAAAATTTACTTGTACATGAAAAGCACACGTTCATATACCGATAAAGAATTTTATGACCAGTGATTTTGTTATGATTCAGTGTTATCATCTACTGATCTAATCTGTTTAATCATAAAATTTATGTTTACAATGTCCTTGGCATTCAACTTTTCTATGCAGGTTATCAGTAGCAGTGAAAAATAAAGACCCGCTCTTTTTCTATTCACTAATATAGCTCTTTTTTAGCCTTATGATCTGATTAAAAGCAAATGTATTCAAGACGTGATAAAGTTGTTTGCAATTGTTGTAACCTTGAAACATGCATTATGTGAAGCGGAAAATGAAATGGATATCTACTGGTTTTAACAAGTAGTTTTGTGCAAATAAGTATTGTTTCTTTCTGAATAAAACAGGAGTATATGTACATGAAAAACATCCTTTCCATAGTCCGATTCAAACAATATTAACACTTAATACTTCAATAATGACAATATGATAAAAGACGAAGAAGCGGACCGATATTTTCTATTAGGCTGTTCTATTTCGCACCCTACAGTCGCTAAGGTTTATAATATCAAAGAAAAGGAATAACAAGCGTGAACCAAAATTCTTCTAGAAGGGCATCATTAAATTTGCACAACTACACATGCCGACCAACAGTTCTGTAAAGTTTCATGACTTAAGGTCAAATACTTTTTGAGCTGATACGACACAAATTGAAAATTGCAAAGTTTTATAAGTCAAGGAGAATAACTCTGACAAAACAGAATAAATCCATAAACGAAACCCCAGGTACACAACTATTAAAGTTTCATGACCCTAGGCCAAACACTTTTTGAGCTATGTGCGACTCAAGGTTAAATACTATTTCAGCAACATAACAATGGGACAGTAATTATGTGGCTACTCTATTGTTCTCTCTATTGTTCTTTTAGCCACACAAAATAAAAAAAGCCACATAAAAGCATTACGGAGTGAATGTCATCAAAGAGAAGAACAGTTATATATTGTCCTTCTAGCCGCATTATTACTGTCCCGTCAGAGCGGACGGACACACGCACGGACTGACGGACATGGGTTAATCTAAATGCCCCCTCTAGTGGGGGCACAATAAAAAACTTATCATATAACACCGATACACATAACAAAAATTACCGGATATAATATTATTACATTGTTATCTCTTTTTTTATGATTTACTGTCACATATAAGAAAAACGTATTTCCAGCATTTGTTTTTTCGCCATTAATCCATTTAAAAATCATATGAGGAAATAAAATCTTGTGGCAACTACTTTAACTCCAATGACTCTTATCATAATTAAAAAAATGTACATCAAAAAACAGATTTCTATAAGCAGCGCTAAACTGTTCCATCATAATAATCATCTTACGCTCTTGCAATATTCACAAAACAAAAAAGAAAGAAACATAACAAAAACAAAAAAAAAAGAGAAAAGAGAAAAAAATCAACAAAGAAGAACAAATACAGTATGCAAGATATTTATACTATTATTTCTCTTTCAATGTAACTTTACCCCATATATTATACAATATCCTGCCTTTATCCAGAATGTTAACTTTAAAATCTCCAATATTTTAATTTATTAAAAAAGCATTGAAAGCTTATCATATATGACAACGTATTCGCAAAATAAATTTAAATATTACTGTAAGATAACCTTCATCAACATAGCAACCAGCAGTTGTCAAATTACAAACTTATCGGTTTTACATGGATAGGTACTTCATGGAAAAAAACATGTAGTTTTTTCATTGCAAGATAATCCGAAGTAGTTTAATAATTGTGTGGTTTAATTTTTTCAATCAGGACTTAAAGATAGTATTCCTGGAATTTGACTTATGGTAAAAAGTTTTAGATAATTGAAAAGATAATATATGACGATATGTCTCTCATGATAAAAAATATGTTTTTAATTAAAAAATTACCAAAGAAATTTAAGAACAAAAGCGTTTTGTATTGATACGAGAAAAAAATGTACAGCTTGCGGGCGGGCGGCAGCTCCATTTTTTTGGCAGCGTAGTGACAAATAACATATGGCGACATTTCACCATGTTCTAATATTAAACTAATGACCTTACCGTGTTCTGTTAATTTAATATAAAATATTAATTGTATATTCGAGCAATGTATCATTTGCTTTTTTATCATTTCAAATATAAAGCCATTTGTGAAAAAGCAGCCCTTTTATTTAATTCGAGCGTGCTATTAAAGTCATAAACCTTAACTCTTTTTTAAAATTTATTAATTTTGAAATTGCTCTGCGAGTAAATTACATAAGGTGCAATATTACCTTTAATTATTATTCCAATTATACCATAGAAAAGCGACGCCGCGTGAACGAGAAACAAATATGCGAGTTGGTTAGTTTCAGTCAATAAACTCTTCATGGAATTACTTTCAATTTTGCTATTGGCGCTTCGTGGAATTTCGTTATCAAAATCTACCCAGCAAAAAGCTATTAATTATTAAATGGAGACAAGAGTTAAAAAAGCTTCGATAGTACTTAACTTGTTTGTGAAAGATTACCTACTTGTACTGTGATTTAAACGGGTATTATATCGATAGTTTTTTATCAATGTTTAATGGTTCGAAACAGCGAAGTATTTGTTGATGGATGCAGTATGTTCATCATAAAATAAATTGATTTCATTTAAAGAACATGGTTTTAAAAAACTAGCTTGACAATATTTATGTTCGTGGTCAATTTCTTATTATATTTTAATTAAGATGTAATAAACCTAAAGTTTAATGATACTGCAATAATATCAGTGTGTATCGGTTTAATTATTATGGACGTTATATTATAGACCTTTTAACAATACGATATTTCCATTGCACGGATGTTGCATTTCGCGAATGCGTACTAAGGTTATTAGTGGCATTATTAAAGAACTGAACTCCTTAATTAGAGGTATTGAACGCGAAATTTGTGGGTCATATTCTCTTACTTAAAGACTAATAAATCAATGATCAGAAAGAGCATACAAAAGTCCTTTGTTTAAATAATCATTTGATCGTTCACAATAAGTTACGTGATAAAGATGTTTACAATTGTTGTAATCTTTAAACATGCATTCTGTGAAGCGGAAAATGAAATGAATATCTACTGGTTTGATCAAGTAGTTTTGTGCAAATAATTGTTTCTTTCTGAATAAAACATGGGTATATGTACATAAAAAACATCCTTTCCATAATCCGATTAAAACAATATTAACACTGAATACTTTGATAATAACAATATGATAAAAGACGAAGAAGCGGACCGATTTTTGTATTTGGCTGTTCTTTTTCGCACCCTACAGTCGCTAAGGTATAAATAATATCAAACAAAAGGAATAACAAGCTTAGCTAACCAAAATTCCTTCTAGAAGGGCATCATTAACTTTGCACAACTACAAATGCCGACCAACAGTTCTGTAAAGTTTCATGACTTAAGGTCATATACACTTTGAGTTAGGCACGACACAAATTGAGAACTGAAAGTTTTTTTAAGTCAATGACAATAACTCTGACAAAACAGAATAAATCCACAAAATAAACCCCAGGTGCACAACTATTAAATTTCATGACCCTAGGTCAAATACCTTTTGAGCTATGTGAGACACAAGTTAAAAATTGCAATTTTACTTAGTCAAGGGCAATAACTCTACAAATACGGAATTGAATAAATCCACATACAAACATCCGGCTGCACAACTACAAAACGTATTTTCATTTTAAATCTTATAAAGAAATGAAACATTGTGGCAATGACTTTCACTCTTATGACTTATGATAATTAAAGTAATATGTGCATATACTGTCACAATTTTAATTGAAAATGCATTTACTAAGTCTGTACGTCATAACAGAATGCTAAATAAGTATGTAATAATATAATTTCTTTTTCAAAATAACTTTACCCCATACACAATACAATATCCTGCCTTTATCCAGAATGTTAACTAAAAAACCTCCAGTAATTTAATTATTTAAGAAAGCATTTAAAACTCATTATATATGATAACGTATTCGCGAACTAAATTTAAATATTACTGTAAGATAACCTTCACCAACATAGCAACCAGCAGTAGTTAAATTACAAACTTATCGGTTTTACATGGATGGGCACTTCATGGAAAAAACATGTAGTTTTTCATTGCAAGATAATCCGAATTAGTTTAATTGTGTGGTTTATTTTTTTCAATCAGGACTCAAACTTTGGATTAAAAGATAGCATCCTGGAATTTGACATACGGTAAAAAGTTTTAGATTATTGAACAGATAATATATGACGATATGTATCTCATGCTAAAATATGGTTGGTTTTATTTAAAAAAAAAATACCAAAGAAATTTAAAAAAAAACGAAAGCGTTCTGTATTGATACGAGAAAAAAATGTACAGCTTAAGGGCGGCAGCTCCATTTTTTGGCGGCAAAGCGACAAATAAAGTGGGCGGTTTTGTAACCTCCCAGTTTTACCATTTGGAAAATTATTATAACATGTTTTATATGTAATAGTTTTAATTAATGTCAGTTATGGCATTTTCAATAAATGCCCTTTTTCATTCAACACATGTGTTTGTTTATATTTTCCCTATGGCAAACGAGTTCGATCTAGACTGCTCTTTCCCTGTTCTGGACAATACATAAATACCATATGGCGACATTTAACTATATTTTAACATTAAACAAGTGATCTTACAATGTTCTGCTAATTTAATATAAAATTTTAATTGTAAATTTGAGCAATGTATCATTTGCTTTTTTTATCACTTCAAATATAAACTCACTTGACAATATATATATTCGTGGTGAATTTCTAATTATATCTTAATTAAGATGAAGATGTAATAAACCTTAAGCTGAATGTCTACCGCAAATATTAATTTTATTCAGCAAATATTAATTTTATTCGAGCGTGCGATTAAAGTCATAAACCTAAACTCTTTTTCAAAACATAATAATTTTGAAATTGCTATGTTAGTAAATAACATAAGGTGCAATATTACCTTTAATTATTATTCCAATTATACCACAGAAAAGCGACACCGCGTGAACGAGAAGCCAATATGCAAGTTGGTTAATTTCAGTCAATCATGGAATTACTTTCAATTTCGCTATTGGCGCTTCGTGGAATTTGTTCTTACTTTCGTTATCAAAATACTTGGGACACATCTACCCGGACAAGATTAATAATACTTCGAAATATTTAACTTATTTGTGGAATATTACCTACTTGTACTGTGAGTAAATTAAAGCATTTAAACGGGTCTTATATCGATAGTTTATATTGATAAATCTTTAATGGTTCGAAACAGCAAAGTAACTGTTGATGTCTACGATATGTTCATTATAAAATTTAATTAGTTTCATTTAAAGAACGTGGTTTTAAAAAACTCACTTGACAATATATATATTCATGGTGAATTTCTAATTATATCTTAATTAAGATGAAGATGTAATAAACCTTAAGCTGAATGTCTACCGCAATCATATCAGCATGTATCTGATTAATTATTATGGACGTTATGTTATAGACCTTTTTACAATACGATATTTTCATAGAAAGGATGTTGCATTCCGCGCATGCGCATCCTTCATCAATAAAGAAAGAACACATTTTATCAATACTCAACAACTTCATAAACAGTTTGAAGTAATCTAAAGATTAGCCATTAGTTTAGACTAGTTTAATTTGATTTATGACCAGTAAACGTGTACTAAGGTTACTAGTAGCATTATTTAAGCACTGATTACTCCTTCATTAGAGGTCTTGAACGCGGTATTTATTGATAATATCCTAGCTTTTCCTATTCTCATACTAAAATGATCTAATGAACGTGATTTCAAGTTTTGTCACCCGGATAACAGTATTTTGGGATCACTTAAAGCGGTACATACTTAAAACGTGAATTGATATTTATAACAAATCTACAAATAATATGGGGGACTAATAATTCAATGATCAGAAAGCGCATACAAAAGTCCTCTGTTTTAAAGTATCATTCGACGACTTTTCTCGTACACCTGTATTACATGATATTTCACAATTGATACTGCACACTTCCTTTGATTATGTGGCTTTTCCATGTCTTTTAATGACAATCTTGACCACAAAGCTATAAAGGCATTTTTGTATTTATGTTAAAAGCTATTCTTATAATTATATAATTTTTACCTTAAACTAACTTGGAATAATGTATGAGTTTTCTACTTCATTTTTCTACTTAAAATCTATAGAATAAGTAGACATAGACGCCGAGTCAACATGAACTTCCCATAGGCTCCCGTTTTACGATATCATTTTTTTTTTCAAAATAAATTTATTAATCTTTATCGAATTTATGTCTCCGACAGCTTGGTTCAATTTAGATATCGTATAAAAGATGTAATGGCCGTATTTACAAACGAAAAATAGTTTGTAGAAGTATTTAGTGAATTGTTCGGCCGACATTGTGCCGATGTATAGTAAACATTGAGCAGCCGGTGGGTTTTATAGATATATAAAGTTTTATAAATTATGTAAGAGAGGTCGCTTACAGGTCATGCCTTATTCACATCAAGAATACATGTATTGAAGTGGTTCAGCTGAATAGTCAGCTTTTGCAATCTTTCCCAAAACAAGTACTTATGTTGACATAGTTTTGATGATAACAAGAGATTGTTTGATTGTTTAATGTTTGTACGATTCACATTATTTGTTTTGTTATGTGAGTATGATTTAATCGACAAAGGTATAAATTTTCTTATGAATGTCTGTTTTAACTTGTTTAATCCACTGAAAAAGTATGTATTTTTTACACAATAGGGGAAATTCACATTTACTTAAAACCCATGTGTACACATTTCATTAGATTGTAATCGTATATTGAAAAGAAACAATGCGTAGTAATGACCTATTTATCGATTAAGGTGTCTGCATTACAACTGATCATGAGGCATCGCGGGTTCGAGCCCAGATGTGTTTTCGTTACACCAGTGCTGATAAGAGTTCCAGAGCGGGAGACTCAATAGAAGAAGACTTTTTTTACCTCGAGATATTTACTGACAAAATAAACAACAACAGCAACAACAACAAAAATATCGATCCGTGTTTTGTCACTTTCTAGACAGTTAAATATAACACACAAGATGCTTCGAATAGTTTGTTTTTCTTTCATGTATTCGTAATGTTTGCGAATAAATCAGCAAAAAACACAAAGCGATATTATTACATATGATCTTGAATAATTGGGTTATAAACACGAATTATAATGAAAAGGGGAAAGCCGATGTCTGTTCACTCTTTGTTTTTATAAAGAGCTATTTGTAACGTAAAATTAATAGTTGGTTACTTCATTTGACACACACCACCAGTTTTCCGCATGGCGTGCAAATATTTAATCGACACATTAAAGGATATCATACCTTATATGCATGTAATATTAATGTATGTTAAAAATGCAATAATAATAATAATAAACAAAAATTAACAAAAAAATGCCTTATAGATTTGTCAATAACTCATTAGCAGTAATAATTAATGATCTTTATGTTTAGATGAAATACACTGGAATGTTACTTACATATATAGCCTGCTAGGAGTATATTTCATTTTTAACAATTTTTGAAAGTTGAATTAATAAATCGCCCGCTGAAGAATCAAGATAAAGCGGTTTGACGCGCGACAATGACCTACATTTTGTAGCTGATATCACGAGGTCCCACAATCAGATAAAACCAGATCGTTTTCCAAACACTTCAGAATGAGATCCTTTGTTACCTTCATTGAAACAGTGTTTTTTTTTCTCTGAAAGGTCATTTGAATGAAAATTAAGGTGCAAGCACAATAATTTTGAGGTTCTTGTAATTCTCCTGTACGAAATATTGTAAAGGCAGAGCTGTATATTACATCTGTATCTCCGACAAAAGACACATGTCTGTAACATAGTATTTACAAAGGTCTAAAGTAGTTTTAATTATACGTACGGTATATCTTTGCCTTTTGAAATATTTATATACCAGTAATTTAAAGCTGTGTGATTTTTTATGACAAGGTTATTGTTTACGTTTAAACTAGACCTTAAATTCCATTTAATTAAAAGGATATTATGCATTAGTAACTAATATCTTTTAGTTCTTAAGAAAAGGTAAAAATGAATTGTATTATGTTTAAATAATTACATATGTATTTTATAGCATGCTAGATTGCTAGATGTTTATCACCTGAAGAAAATACGGCTGAATGTAAAATTATTTGTCATAAAAGTAGCAAAAAGTAAAAAAAGTGGTATTTTTTATATAAAATACGTAATCACTACAACTGTACTTATTGCCAAAAAGCAACAAAAACAAAAGATGGTTGAGATAATTTTGCCAATGGATACCTTTTTGAAAAGTATTACAGAATACTTAACATAAATAGTTTTTGAGAAATATAAATATTTTTGGGTGTAATGTGCCTTTCATTGGAAAGGGACGCCTTTTTGATTGGAAATTGATCACCAGAAAGAAATTGATATTACCGAACCAGACGGGTAATATTCACATTAAATTTCCCCGTCGGGTACCCCCGTTGTAAACAACATGCGCTGTGGCGATGCGCGTACGGTTTGATTTCACGCGATGTAAATTCCGATTTACAAGCACTTTTTAACTGTCAAATGATAAATATTTAACAAAATAGTCATACTAATAATCATACATATTCTCATCAGTATTGAAAAGAAATATGACCTTGTGAAAGCTTGATATTAATTCCAAAAAAGTGCTTTCAACAGACTACTCCTTTCCTCTTGTTTACATTCGTTAGGTTCGAAAGAAAATACGTCATGTATTTATGTGACGTCATGTTAGGTGAAGGGGTACCCTAAAGGGAATCTTATTTCGACGTTTCATTTGAAGTAGCAATGATTTGTTTTAAAATCGTCTTTACTTGGCAGGGGAAGGGTAATAAAATTATTATTTTGGTTTTGGAGTGATATATGTGGATATATATTACCTGCCAAGATAAAATATCACTTCGCCTAACGGCTCGGGTGATATAAAATCTTGACAGGTAATATATCCACATATATCACTCCAAAACCAAAATAACAAATAACATGCGGATATTCATTTCTACTTCTTTTATTCAATGTGTAAACATAAGTTATTGATTCTTCAAGCAGGCAAAATATGTTGCTTTAGAAACACTTGGATAAAAATATGATATTTAAATTATTCAAAATATTTAAAAGCTTAGTTGATACATGTTTAACACGTGTATTATAGAATATGGGAATGTTATGCTTCACTTAAGGTAAAGGCAAAAAAATATACTTAAGACTGTATGAACAATGGCATTTCAGCAAAAAAAAGTGATGGCTATTTTTTTTGGAAATGGATACTTATCTCTGTTTATTTCAGAAATCTAAAAGCTTGCATAGACATGTAAATATGAAACAGACACCCGCACCATCCTAGCCATTGACAAATGTGCGCACTTAAAAGTATAAATGTAGCTTAATTCGTACATTTTATTCTTGTAAATAATTATTATATTTATATTCAGAGGTGTGTTTTTGGGACAAAAGTAAGTGAATATTAATCAATCTGACGTAAACATGGCGGACAAGACGGAACCAAAAAAACTAACCGACAGCCGATATGCAACGTTCAGCAGAAATCAAGGATTACTACAACAGAGGAAGTAAGATGTTTGACAGTAAAACATTAATTACTCTAGTACACTGTCGATTACCTTTAAAAAATAAATTTTGTATGAATTTAAATAAATAAATATTTCCATAAAGTTTTATATATTTCCTACTCACGACATAGATTTTTTCAAAGTCTTTTTTTCGAAATTATTCATTTTTAATATCTATTCCAGACCGGAATCAAAAATCTTCAACACCCCTATGACACTTGTTGAAAACAAAAACGGAAAGACGGCTTGCAATCACGAAACTTTAGCTGAGCTTAGTAAAATAGAGAAAACCCTAAATGTGGTGTCCGTGGTGGGAAGTCTTAGAACCGGGAAGTCCTTCCTGTTGAATAAACTTGCAAAAGCAGAATCAGGTTTGATTTATCACAAAAAAAAACATTGCCGTTTGCATTTACTGAATCATAAACGGAAACTTAAACTTTGTAAATGTTTATGAAACTGGTTATAGATGTTACAGTGAATGCACAAGTGATGAATATAAATTGTTTGATTTGGTGATACACTATTTTTTAGTAGGTAGCTTGTATGCTCAGAGTCAACGGTTCATATAGTTCATTTTAAAAATATAATGAAGAAAAAAGGCAAGTATTGCGTTTGGACACACCTCATCAATTCATTAAAAAAGTTAATTTAAGCGGTGAAGTATCCTTCTAATTGATTAAGGATTCCTGAGATAAGGTTTTATGTTGTTTGGTTGTTTTTATGTAATATTTCATATACATGATATTCCAAAAATAGTTGCCGGTTTCAGTTTTTAGCAAATTCAATTTAAGTTTGTAAGTGACATTATAAATGTAATATTACAAGTTTCGAGATTTACTGACAGAGGAAGACCTCCCGGATCCCATTGTGCATTAATTCCGAAACGAGAAATATGGCATCGACTTTGAATAAAAGTGATCAGTATAACAATTACTAACTTTATTTAATTTTCATGAAAATTTATTTTAAAAAAAATCAAAATCATTTTTATAAATCTAAAGGGAACGGGTTCGAGACCGGACACACTACAAAAGCTGTCACCAAAGGCATTTGGGTGTTGTGTCGACCACATCCAACACAAGAGGATCAAGTCCTTGTTCTGCTAGACACAGAAGGAATAGATGATCCAGATAAGGTATTAATATCTAAAATGAATCTAAAACTAGTGTTATAAGATAATGTGCTTATTAAAATCAAATTTGCATCAAGTGTGCATTAGTAGCATTTCTTCAAATGATATGAACACTTTACATAAAAGGTAACGATTATTCAAACAGAACTTATAAAACACATCTGTCAAACATACAACTTTGTCATATAATTTGAACACATTACATAGATGACCAAAGTGAAACGTTATTTTTACCCTCTTCGAGGAAGTGGGGTATACTGCTTTGCACTGGTCGGTCGGTTTGTCTGTAGACCAAAACGTTTCCGATTCATAACAAAAGAACGCCTGAGCCTAGGAATTCAAAATATTGACCTTTTAAATTGGAACAGTTTCCGGCATAATAGCTCAACCACCGATAAGGCTGTGGCCCTTATATTTCACATGCCCATAAACCAGAAAAGGATCGTCATTGACTTTTGGGCAATATAAGGGAGGGGGTCAAAGGCCAAGGTTAAGGGCACAATGCCATTTTATACCAAAATAGTTTTTGACCTGTGGCTCAACTACCAATAGGCTCATGACTCTCAAACGTCACAGGTGTATTGGCCTTGTTCAAAAGATGACCTCTTTTGATTCTTTGGGCAAAGGGTCAGAAGACAAGGTAACATTGACCTCTTTTATCAAGACAGTATTCGACTAATTTATCGACCATTTATATGCCCTTGGCCCTTAGGCTTAAAGGGTGTATTGGTCTTGACAGTAAATGTACTTATCAACTTTTTGTCAGGCGCCAGTTTTGTGTCAAGGAGATCAAATGTCAAGGTCAAATTGAACTTTGATATCAATGCAGTTACCGACCAATTTCTTAACTATGTATATGCTTTTGGCCATCAAACTTCATCGATTTATTAGTCTTGGCCAGTAGAAGACCTCTATTGAATTTTAGTTAAGGGGCGGGTCAAAGGTCAAGGACACATTCACTTTTATATCAAAACAGTAACTACTCGACCACCCATATGCCCTTGACCTCAACCTTTAAGGGTAAATTTGTTGGCCAACTTGATGATCCCTATTGATTTTGGGTTAAGGGGTCAACGATAAAAGTCACGATCACCATGTATGTAAGAAAAGGTTAGCGACCAATATTTCTCAATTCCTGAGCCCCTGGCCCTCAAACTTCGCGGTGATGATGATAATGAATTCCTTTAGAATAAGCGGTCAAGGATAACTTACGAAAGTGCAAGCACTTATTTCCAGAAGGGTCCTTACCTCAGCAGACACCAGAGTCAGCTATAAGATAGCACAGCCCCTTGCTCTTATTGAATAGACCTCTTGGTTCTTTTAAATGCCCAGTGTATAGCACTGATACATGCGTGGATAACCTCAGTTGTATACCAGTATACCTCTAGTTATGCGGGAAACACGGGAAAGTCTCTGACCAATCTTAAGAATGTTACACAGGAACAAACCCGGAACCTCAAGAGTAACAGTCAGTGGTGTAACCATCGAGCTATTGCGCCACCATAATAGGTCTGGTCTGGGGCAGTTAGTGTCCCCTATAATTTTTTGGATGAAGTAGTCAAGGTCACATTGACAGTTTCCGGTCAATAACTCGACCACCTATTCATTTTTGGCCCTCAAACTTGACATGTGCATTGGTCTTGGCCAGAAAATAAGCCCAATTTATTTTGGTGTCAAGAAATGACAGGTCAAAGTCACATTGACCATTTCTATCAAAACAATTTTTGATCAGTTTGTTTTGACCAGTAAATCAGGCATCCATGGGCCAAGAATCATCAAATGTTACAGGTACATTGGTCTTGTCCAGAAGATAACCTCTATGTTTCTTTGGGTTAAGGGTTCATAGGTAAAGGTCATATTGACCTTTTATTCCAAAACATAGCATAGTTAAGTAGATTGACCACTTTAACCATGCGATAATGACCCTAAAGGTTAGCAGGCGCATTTCGTCTAGAAAAAGATTACCTCTCTTTATTCTCTGGGTTATAATGTCGAAGGTTTAGGTCAAATTGACCTTTTATATCCAAACAATTTCCGACCAATCACTCAACCACGCAAATCCCTTCATGAGTCACGGATGCATTGGTCTTGGTCAGTATATGACCATTATTTTTATTTCAAGGGTCAAAGGTCAAGATCTAATTGACCTTGTGTGTACAATAGTTTCGAACCAATAATTCGACAACACACGGGCCTCTGACCCTTTTAATTTTAAACGTGCATTGGTCTTGGCCAGAAGATGACCTCTCTTGAATTTTAGTGCAAGGAGTTAAATGTCAAGATAACGTTGACCTTTTTGACTTGTTGACTAAGAACTAGAAATCCTAACTGACCCTTGGCCCTTAAACTTCACAGGTGCATTTACCCTGGCCAGTAAATGGCCTCTTTAAATTTTAGGTTTGCAGGTTCATAACGCATTTTGATCAGTTTCTGAACAAACAATGGGCCATTGGTGCTAAAACTTAATGGATGCAGTAGTGGACCCCTTATACATTTTGGGTCGAGGGCACAAAATGTGTTCCCTAGCAACTTTGGATACAACTTTGGACATGCTGACGAGAGGAAGAGGATTCATGTTTTACGAACAGAACTAATAAAACACTGACTAACCTAAGGATTAAGTATGCAATTTTCATGTAATTTTGTTGTATTTAATGCTTCCGGGGGATCACTTTGTTTCTAGATTTTTTTTATAAATAGATAAAGAGAATATGAAACTTTAATATCTTATTTATAGTTTTGAAGTGGTCTTTTTTATTTATTGCACCAGGTGGAGATTACAGATGATCAATGGCTCTTCATCTTATCCACACTACTTAGCAGCACCATGGTTTATAATACAAGAGGAAATTTGGACAAAACGGCTATAGATAAATTCAGGAATCCTCCTTTATATTTTTATGATATGATAGTTTGTAGTGTCGTTCATGACATTTACTAAAATATTAATCGTTTAATAATCATTTGGAATTACTTTAAAAACATCGTTTTTTACATCGATTTAATAATAAAAAGTTTTATTTTCGACTTTTGAAGATCATTCATTGCGATTTTTTTATCGATTATTGTTTGATCATCCTTTGGATATGTTTCTTGCCTTTTAATTCGTCGTTTTGAAAGCCGTCTGTGACACACATGTTCTATATTCTCATAATTACATTTTACATAGATCTATTTATTGTTACACAGCTAAGCTTCCATGATCACTGGGTGAATGATAAGCATAATAAAGATAAGAAGATGCTTCTAAATTCTGAACAATATGTACATATGTTCAAAAATATATCAATATTACCGGACAAAAGCTACAGTTTTAAGAGCTTTTACCTTTAATGAAGATATCAAGGTTAAAATCGCATTGAATTATTTTCGAAAAAGAAAAGCCAATTTTTATTACTGTATAAAATCAATTTTAAATACAGTCCATTTTCCCTAATTTCTAGTTTGTTATAGTAAGCTGAAGAGGTAAGTGCCTTTTTTCTATTCATTTGGTCACCATGGTGACATTATATCAAAATGCACAAGGTGAAAACCTTCATTTAAAGTCTGAAATTTACTTTTGTAATGAACACACGATACGACATTACATATTTATAACGAACGACACAATAAGTTAAGAAAATACATCCTTAACAACTAATACAGATTCTTGAAGGAAATCAAATCATCGATTAGCGTGATAGGCTCAAATACTGATGATTCAATCCTAGATTTCTTCTTTCCTACCTTTGTCCTTGCTTTGAGAGATTTCACATTAACTATACAGGACAAGACCGCCGATGTTTTTTTAGAAGGCAAACTGATGATGCAGCGGGGACAGTCGGACAAGATACGCAAGTTTAATGAACCGAGACAACTTATTAGAAGATATTTCAAGAAAAGGAGATGCTTTATCTTCATCAAACCTACAAAAACAAAACATCTTTCCAAGCTAATGACTATCGATGAAAAAGAATTAAAGCCAGAGTTTCAGGAGACTTTAAACTCGTTTAGGGACTATATCTTTTCATGTGAACCAAAAACCTTAAAATCTGGAAGAGGTGTTAATGGAAGAAGTACATACTATTTTTCAACTTAAACTTTTTAACTCAAATAGATAATGTAACAACACTTTCAGTTTTCTATTGGATATTGCGAACAGTTTAACAAGTTAGCATTTTGTTCTACATGTTTTGTAATAATGCAATTCACAAAATTAACGTATCTAGTTCTAAGAAATTGATCACAAATACATAGTATCTAAATGTTTTACATGGCTTACATTGGTAAATGTTGCGTTCATACTCAGTGCAGTTAAAGGATCACAATTTGATTTTTTTCAGTGTTGGCAACACTTCTTACAAGCTACGTCAACTCGATTCAAGCTGGAAATCCGCCCTGTCTCAGTGAGGCCATGGCTACCATGGCTGATGTTGAAAACGCACGAGCTGTTGATAAAGCCACTGAAGTTTACAACAGAGAGATGAAAAATCATATCACGAATCATAATGTTCCTACTGATACAGGTCTTTTAGGGTTCCACAGTGAAAGCATGAAAGCAGCGATTGAAGTTTTGAGGACTGAACTTGTGTTTGATGATAATCAAGTGTATGAAGAACAGGCTCTTGTAGGTTTTTATGTTTTTCGATTTTGAAATGTGTTATAAATCAATAAATATCAGTAATAAATTCAAACGTTGTTATCATCAGGATAATTTAAAACATGATTCTGGACAATATAAGATTCAAAGTATCTTTAAGATGTTATCAATTCGTTGTATGAAATAGTCTGCAAGTTGCGAAATATGTGTTTGAATAAAATTCTGTTTCTGTATAAATGTATCTGTTTGTGCTATTGTCACATAATAATTATTTAATTACATATAAATTACATTCTAGGTAAAATTCAAGGAACACTTGAAAAAGTTCAAATCCGCCGCCGACAAGAATTCAAGAGCCATGTGTCAACATAGACTGGAAATTCTTAACTTGAAAGTGATGCGCAAAGTTAAGAATCGTGTGTATTGTCATCCTGCTGGATATGATGAGTATATGACAGATCTTAACTGGATAATTAAACAATACAACAAAGATGCACCTTGTCTTGGAGCTAAGGTAAATTCAAGATTCTTTAATATTTATTGTGATATATATATTGTTTCTTTTCAACATTGTTATATTTGTGTCATGTATGTTTGTACCGATGTTTTTCCGAACAAAAAAAAACTGAGTAGACTTTACCTTTAATGGACTATCACTTGTTCAATAAAAGGTTGGCGGCTATCACAAAATTATACATTTTTTTTGTTTTCTACAAGGCATATACCTTGTTTAATTACTCATCTAACTTTAAGATGGGAAATACTGACTTTTCGAATTAAGTACTAGTATCAATCAAACACTTTGACCATATTAGTTCGTACAGAAAATACGAATACATAACAAAAGCTCTGTACAAAATGCATGTTAAGTTATGAAGTTTTGCCAAATGAGCTCAATAGAGCATAACACTTTTGACAACGAAGTCGTAAAATCGCTTTCTTGACACAATTGTTAGAAATTTGTTTCTTATTACCTCTAAGAAAGTGTGTAACACTCACCTGAATCAATTCAAATAAACATTCTTAAGTTGAATACTTTTATTGCATTATCTGTACTTTCAGGCTAGAGAATCTTTGCAAGAATATTTAGACGGTAAAGAGTCTGAGGAGGAACAGGTTTATCAAATGGTTTTGGAAGCACAAGAAGGTAACTGAATTAATTAATTTTTTTATCGTATAGATTTATATATTTCGCTGATGTTGAAATATTTATATGTCTTAATTTTTTTAACTTTTAAAATTTATTATTTAACAATTCTGCCAGTTATATAATAAAAATATCATCTAAATCAAATTAATGCAAAATATTATCTATTTAAAAGAAGGGGCTAAAGAGAAGCCTAAACCACGGATACAACGCCTAAGCTCTCTGACTGAAATTAATCCAGAAGAAGCTGAACATATAAAAGAAAAAGAAGCCGAAGAAAAGAAGATAGAGGATGAAATCAAGCGTGATATAACTGTCCTGCAAATAAACGGTATGAACAGTATTGGAACACAATATTTGGAGATTCTTGAAATGAAAGTTAACGAACTCGAGCGTGTGAAAAGCGAGTTATCAGCTGACGACCCATATTACGAGTCTCTCCTGTTGGAAACAGAATATTGGAAAAAATTGTTAGAAAAAGCAACTTGGAATCAACCACAATACAAAAGCAAACAGGATAATGTACCAGATTCTTCTCAACAAGGAGAGCAACAAAAAACTAAAGAACACACAGAAACCGTTCAAAAAGCAGACTTCAACCAAAGCAGCGGAGTAACAGATCAAAACGAAAGAGAACCGACGAGAAAGAATGCCCCTTTGCCGGTTTACGATGAAAATTATTTTCGCGTCAAACCGAAGCCATTTCCAGCCAATAAAGAGTCTATCGACCCCAAATTTATCATAGATCTTGACAATAAAATTGCGCCTAAAGTAAAAGAAGATAAAGTCAAAAAAGAACCGGAATGTATTATTCTGTAATGTTTGATGTTTGAAAAGAATTTAAACGCAATGAGCTGATACAATTATGTTGTATATAGTTTATACAGTATGTAAAGTTTTACGTTGAATATAGCTTTATTGGCATTATATTTATTTGTTTTCACAAACGCAAAGACTGTACCATTAGAAAGACAAGAAATTGAATTGAGTATTAAAGTGTTCAATATTCAAGTTAATTTATATTTATCTATTCCTTTTACTCTGTAGCATGTAGAGCTATTTTTGTATTTTATGTTTTAGTTTTTTTTATATTATTATGAAGCTTATAATCATTTACATGAATATAAATGTTAGTTTATCGAAGTAAGTGTTACTTCAGCAGAGATTATTATTGAATACAGTGTAAAAAGTTTAGGTTTTTGTGTTTTCATGTTTTCAACGGACACAAACAAAAATACATGTTAACATCTTTATCCTTTCAATTTTAACAGAACTGTCGGAGGACGGCGACGCGACTATTCGAAAAAGTAGTCACAAGGGTGTTTCATTGAGTGTAATAATGCTTACCTATATGAATACATAAAATTGTCCAAAAAGGTACAAAGTTATTTAGATGTTTCAGTGTAAATCACTGCTTTTTTATTATGAATGCATAAAATTGTCCCAAAAAGGCGCAAACACTTAGTAGTTCTATGGTAGTATGTGGTTATGAAGATATCTGCTTACAAGCAAAATCTTTTCTAAGAATTTCTAAGTCGAAAAGGGGCATAATTATGCAAACAAGCAAATCAGAGTTATGGGACTTGTGCAAATCATGTTAGATAATCACAGAGAACAAGTGTGTGAAGTTTCAATCCATTCCCTTCAGGAGTTATGCAGATACAAGCTTATACGCCAAAGACTTAACCAAGAATTTCTTAGTCAAAAAGGGGGCATAATTATGCAAAAAAGTAAATCAGAGTTATGGGACTTGTGCCAATCATGTAAGATAATCACAGAGAACAAGTGTGTGAAGTTTCAATCTAATCCCTTCAGTAGTTATAGAGATACGAGCTTACACACAAAAACTTAACCAAGCATTTCTAAGTCGAAAAAGGAGAATAAATATGCAAAAAAGCAAATCAGAGTTATGGGACTTGTACCAATCATGTTAGATAATCATAGAGAACAAGTGTGTGAAGTTTCAATCCATTCCCTTCACTAGTTATGGAGAAACTTGCTTACACGCAAAAACTTAACCAAGAATTTCTCAGTCGAAAAAGGGCATAATTATACAAAAAAGCAAATCAGAGTTATGAGACTTGTGCCAATCATGTTAGATAATCACAGAGAACACGTGTATGAAGTTTCAATCTATTACATGCAAAAACTTAACCACAGGGACGCCTATACCGACAAATGGGTGACTGCATTAGCGTATAGTCGAGCTAAAGATGTAAGCATAATCGAACAATTCAAAAATTTACAACACAGTTTAAATAAATGAATAAAGAAACAACAACACTTTAACTATGACAAGAGGTTGTGTCAATCAAATAAAGAAATAAATGAATGTTTATTTTGTATTATGATTTCATTTTTTAAGTGAAATTATGCCCGTTTTTTCTCTGTCAAGTTGAGTTGAATGAATACTATATTTAATGGATTCACTATCATAATAGTGATATACCAATCATTGATTGATAGTAAATCATGTTTAAAATAGAATAAAATAATTACCTAAATCATAAAAGACTGCCCGCTCCTTTTAAGATTTGAGCCTTACCATATTTATAGAAATGGGTTTGGCGTACGTGGTTTATTGATTATTTAAAATAGTAAAATATAATGTTGAAAAAATTATGGCTAAATGTAAAGTTATTTGACTTTTACTTAGGCACGCACCATTTACACTTGGATGTGCATAATGTCACTTAAAACAATTAAGGCAATATTTTTTCTTGGTGACAGTTTCCCAGAAAATTGCTTTGCACAAAGTGGAAAGATTATCTTATGATCAAACGTGATCAAACGATCATGTTTTATTATGTGGCACAATTATTTGTAAGTTTCTGAAGACCTGATCCTCGAGTGATGCAATCATCTCAAAGTATTCTTCAAACAAAAGTTTAAGTGAATACATTTTAATCAAATATACACGTGTATGAGATAAAAACTTAAATCCAACATGGAGAAGGTGAACCCTTAAAGAGTGGTGCATTTCAAACTAATCATAACTGTTTCCTTTAAAAGCTTAAAATCGATTTAATTTACTAAATTTACCAAATAATCTAAAAACAATATTTGTCATGTCGATTTCAATCAATTAAGTAAGCATTTTGAATGGTTTAATGTTTAAATGTATTACAGTTGACTGACTAGTGGGATATCATATTTCATTTTCTTTGTACTGATTACAAAATAGATAAACTCGTCTGAAATCGAAACTGAAATAAAGGATTTTTTTAAAACTTTGCTTCACTTAATTAGTAGTAAAATATTATATTTTGCGGTTCCTATCTTATTGTCAGCTATAGCGTGATACAAAAGAATATTAATTTATGATCCTTATATTATTGGTGTTCTCAGTAAAATGGAGGTAATGTTATTTCATTTTGATTTTTTTCGGCACTAATAATTGATATTATGATTGGTATATAAATTTAAATTGCTTGGCCTTAAAAGGCGACGTCGATAAGACGATATCATAATATAAAACACGAAAATGTGATGCACAGATGCGAAATCACTATGTGAAATTGATTGCATTTTCATCATGCACTTCATTTAATGTGAAATGTACCCATTCTATGTAATTGCAACAATGATATGACGATCACTTGATGAGCAGATACAAAATAAAAACATGCGAGATTATTGTCGCTTTTTTGTTATCGTATTTCTCGCGATTTTACATTTATTCGTCTCATTATGCATTTGACAAAGTCAGAGAAAGGCAAACGTACGATAAGAAAACAGAATCAGCTGGTTGAGGGGTAGAAGTCAACTTGCGGAATTAGGATGCAAAAATGCAATATTATTTTTTCATCTCCGGATCGTGTTATGCGATTTTGAGTATACCTATCGTCCTATAATATAGCCGTACTGTTAGCCCAATAGGTAGAGCGTTGGATTTTGAATCGGGCGACCTTGGTTCTATTCCGGCGCAGGACTCTATCGTTGTGACTGATCATAAAATTCTTCTACGGTCATTTGCATTGTACCTCTGCTTATGCATGTACAGAAGTAATCAGTTCTTTGCGAAAGTGAAGGCAACTAGTACTGTTAAACTGCTTGACAGCCTGCCCATGACCGATGCGGTGACTGAACTGTGCTCTGGTAAATTCAGTGTGGCTTACTGCCGTTATACGGAGTGAAAACTACCAACAACACCACCTATCATATTCTTAATCTAAACTGAATTGTGGGTCCTCTGAATTCAATTCAACTTAATTTAAATGTATCAAGGTTCTAGATTTTTATTATTACCAGCTGCTGTATAAATTAGTTAAGTGTATGAAAAACTAGATCGATAAATAAGAAAGTGATTGTGTATATAAAGTAAACACTTGTATGAAGTACTAGTAATCATTTGGATGAAATAACAAAATACAATGTACATGTATATGAAATTAACGAAGCAAGTAACTAGATCATCTTATATAAAGTTACTACGCAAATGTACGTACTTTGACATCCTAATTAACTTTTTTTCTATACAATTTGATGTACAGAATAATTAGAACCTCGAATATTTACAAAACAAATTGATGATTGATAAAATTAAATGACTATACATTAGTTAACAACTGGCTGTAAATCTTCCTGTTCTAGTGTAAGTAAGGATAACACGAGTTGCCTCCCATGTAATAGAACAAGTAAACTTAACTAAATCTACAACGTATCTGTGATGATGGAATTGACAAGATTATTTTCAGTATGTCGAGAATGTTTCGTTTTCTTAAATCTGGTAGAGGTTTTAATAATTCCTAAATGTCTATTTTAGCAATAAATTTTTGTACAGCAAGACGTGTATTTTTCCGATTTTCCTGGTGTATCACAGAAACATATATAAGATAGAAGGATGCTTCCTTGTATAGAATAATGGAAAGGGAATAAAGGGAAAATGAAAGATAAATTATGTATGTTGTATGAGACTCATTCAAAAGTCAACTGCACATCCGCGGACAAATTAAGCAACGTTACTTTAATGTTATGAGCGTTGAATTTATCTAATCTTTAAATGGCCAAGAAGAAAATGAAATTTAATATCTCTTAAAATTACATAACACATATACATTGAATTTAAAAATCTGTACAGAAATGTTAACAAGATTGCATTTGAGAAAAATGCTATGGCACCGCATTAATACAACACTAATAGTAGTGTAGGAACATATTTTTTGTTTCTATACAACTGAAGATTGTCATAATGCATATATTCCTGACGTTTCTAATTTTTATTATCAGATTAGTGGTTAAATCTATTGTTAATCCAATAAAAGATCAGAGTAGGAATATATCAATGCACTTGAGTCTAGTGAATTTGGTGGTGAAGGTCATATTTCACACAGCCTAAATTTCATGACTACATCAAAGGACAACACAGTATGACACTTTGTCAAAATCTAGGTCAGCTGATATCAAAGTTCACTTTACATCTTAATCTGTGCACATGGTTCAAATTTTATAGCTGTACATCAAAGGACAAGAAAGTATGTCACATCATCAAAATCTAGGTCACCTGATATCAAAGATCAAAAACTGTGCACATGGTCAAAATTTCATTGCTGTACATCAAAGGACAAGAAAGCAGGTCACTGTTCCCTTGGACAAGACAAAATTTTGACCCAAGGGTTTAATTCAAATCAATCTTGATACAGGTCCACCAAACAACATTTCAAGTCAAATATCTAACCTGTAGCTTTCTCCCATTCAGAAAATATTTGTTTTATTTTCTGTTTTTACTATGTGTACATAATGAGAATCACTGCCGCCGGGCAGGGCCAATTTTGACACCAGGGGAAGAATTTGAACAACTTTGGTAGAGGACCTACAGATGATATTATATAGCAAACATCAAAAATCTTAAGTCAAAGATGTCATAATTTGTATGAATAAAAATAATGTGATTCAGGACTGGGCTTAATGGAATCCAGAGTTTATAATCTTATTGATAATTCAGGATGAAATATCCCACCGGGGAATTATTGATTACGGGTGTTAAACCCAAATTAACCTGTATCTTGAATTGTGGAATATGGTAATCAAAATGTTTGTGATTTTCACGGTAAAACATTGCACAAAAACAAGTTACAAAGGGTAGATCTTCCTGAAAGCTCACAAGGACAAGGTCCGTCATTTCCAATAACGGGACTACAGGGTATCAGATATAGACATATAGACAGAGTTTCTGTGTGTCATCTTAAATCAACTCCTACTTCAGTTCATAGAAGTTAAGAACAGTTAAAAGGAATATATCCGACACAAGAAATGAAAATATATTTAGAGAGATGGAAATGTTTCGTTGTACCTGCTGGGGGTAGATTGAGCGAGAACACAGAATTTGAACGGAGAAT